GCAACACAGTGTCACAACTGTAACAGCACATAACCATGGGGTAGGAGGGATGTCATCATAGTCACACATTTTGGGGATTAGGGAGAAACATCTTTGAGAAGTCAAGTTAGTAATTCTGCCCACCAAATGGGTCAAGATGAAGCTTTTTCCAGATGGATCTCTGGTTAACCCAGTGCACTTCCCCAAGCATAGCAGAAATCAAGAGACTGTATCTGTGTGCATCCAGTACTAGATGGACCTCTTCCATTGGCCTATTTGTCCTTCGCTGTGTCAATTCCACACTCTCTTGATTTTTGTAACTTTATAATTAGTCTTAATGGCTCGCAATATAAGTCATTTAGCTTTGTTCCCCCTTCAAGATTTTCTTGCTTAGTTGGTCCCTTGCTTTTCCTTATAAATGTAAGAATCCACTTAAACCTTGGTATCCCATCAGGAAAACTTGTTGGTATTTCAAATAGGTATACACTGAATCTACAGATTGCTGTAGGGGAATCTGACATCTCTACGATAAGTCTGTAACCCACAAATACACTCTTGCCCTTCCAAACATCTAAGTCTTTTTACATTTCTCTCAAGAATACTTTGTAGTTTTCTGTGTAAAGCTCTTCCATATTGTTCTTTAGATTTAGTCTTAGGTATTTTATAGTTGTTGACACTATGCTAAATGGTACTGTTAAACTTTTACCATTTTCATTTGTTTGTTGCTAGTATAGGGAAATGCAACTGGGTTTTGGTGACTGATCTGGTGGGGTTTTTTGTATTTGCTTCTTCATAGCACTGGGGTTTGAACTCAGAGCCTCACACTTGCTGGGAAGGTGCTCCACCAGCCCCTGGTTACTATCTTGTATTCAGTAACCTTGTCAAATTCACTTATTAATTCTAACCAACTATCTACACATTCTCTCAGACTCTCTGTGCACACAATCCTGTCATTTGTAAGCAATGCCAGTTTTACTTCTTCATTGCTACATCTTATCCCTTTTTATCTCTTACATTTATATTTATACATAAGCAAATTATTTGCTATGATTTCTTATCCTGATTTCATGACAGAGTTTCTTTGGGACAATGAAAAGTTTAGAAAAATCTCATTCTTTTCCATCCCATGAACAGGCTTGCTATTTTTATTACCCAGTGACACCCACAACTGCCCCTTTCAGCAGAGGAAGCCATTCAGCCAGAGTAGCCACAGCATCCCAGTTGTGCCTCTCCAGGTGACATCTGCCACCTCCTGCAGTAGTCACCATGGTTCATATCACTGTTGAAATGGGTTGGCCATTTTCCAGGGACACTTAGACCCAAAGAAAGCTGCTGTGAAGACCGATCGTGGCCTACCAAGGACATCTGTTCCTGGTCCCTGAGGAGTTGGGAAGATCCCAGAGGAAGCCAGGAGTGCACAATGATGATTTCACCAAGCCCTATGCTGTGTGGCAAAGTAGTGGGGGTGGGGGTGTGGTACAGAATTACATCTACTGCCTGCTGGTCCTGTTTGTGTGGCAATCTTGAGACTCAACCTGATTCCCCACCCAGGTTTGCGAGGTGACCCTATTGGTGGTCACTATGGGCAGCCAAGCAAATGAAGGCCTTTGGCGTGATTGTGATTAAGGGATATAAGTGACTCGTGGTAAGCTGCTCATCCTGTGACCACCACTGTGTAAATGTCAACCACAGGAAGGTGATGAAAAAGGAAAGCAGGCTGTGCTTTTCAGTGAGACAGAGGACGTCTCTCCCTGGGTTCCTCGCTGTTCTCTGCAATGGGTACTATTGCTGCTGTCATAATCCCCCATGTCACAATTTTCATCCTCCCCAGCCAGCTGGTATTTTTTTTTTTTCTCTCTGCCTGTGTGTTTGAGTTTACAAAGTAAAGAGCATGGTGCTTGCCTGTTGGTCATTCTTCTGAGCTGGGTGACAAGACTGGGCAGGTTTTAAGATGGCAGGCACAACACTGGGCATAGTGATGACACCTGCAGTGCCAGCTTCTTGAGTGGCTGAGACAGGGTGGTCATTGAGCTCAGGAGTCCAAGACCAGCCTAAGCAACATCGCAAGACCATGTTTCAAAGGAAAAACAAAAATCACATGCATCTATACTATCAACTAACAAAGAACTAAATGCCCTGGTCCGTGCTAACTCCCTGGTTTTAAGTGGTATTACTTGTTAATAAAAGTGAATTATGAGCCAGGTGCTTGTGGCTCACACCTGTAATCCTAGCTTCTTGGGAGGCTGAGATTGGGAGGATCATGGTTTGAGGCCAGCCAGAGAAAATAGTTCAAGAGACCCCATCTCCAAAATAACCACAGCAAAAAGGACTGGAGGAGAGGCTCAAGCAGTAGAGTGCCTGCTTTGCAAACATGAAGTTTAAACCCCAATACCATGGGAAAAAAATCAACAAAAGTGATTTGCTATGTAGCATTATTCAGAATAGCCAAAAGTGGTAACAATCCAAAGTGTCCATCAGCAGCTGAATGGATAACAAGATGTGGTGTAGCCATACTATCATAGTCTGCATTCTGTTGCAAGAAGAAAATACCTGAAACTGGGAAACTTATAAAGGAAAAAGGTTTCTTTTGGTCCATGGGGAAGCTGGGAAGTCCAAGACCATGGTGCCAGCCTCTGCTCAGCTTTTGATAAGGGTTTGTGCTGTTTCAACTCATGACAGAGAGCAGAAGGGCAAATGGGCATGTGCAAAAAAGCTAAAACATGAAGAGCTGTCTTACTCTATAACAACCCACTCTGATGCAGTAACCAATCCAACCCTGCCAGAACTGTATTAATCCCTCCCAATGACCTAATCATGGTTTAAAGCCTCTCTCAACACTGTTACATTGGGAATCAAACCTCAACATGAGTTTTGAAAGGCACCAACCATACTCAAATCATTGCATACACAATGGAATATTATTCAGTCACAACAATGAATGACGTACTGATATGTCACTCAACATACATGCACCTTGAAAATATTATGCTAAGTGAAAGAAGCCAGAGAGAATGATTACATACTGTATAACCCCATCTATAAGAAATGTGCACACTAGGCAAGTCCAAAGAGACAAAAGGTAGATTAGTGGTTGCTAGGGGATGGAATGAGAGACCTCTAATAGGTTCAGATGTTCCTTTGGGGAGATGGAAAAGGTGGGGAATTATGTAGTGGTAAGGATTATATAACACTATGAATAGATTAAAATCACTAAAGTGTACACAGTGTTAATGGTGAATTTGAACTCAACAGAAAAAGAGAAATATTGCTATGAAGTTATTTTTCCTCTTTGGAGATCAAATATCAAAATTACTCTGACATCCTGGTTCTGAAAACCTTCTCCACAGCCCAAGGAAGGTGGGGGCTGGGAGACTAATGCAGCTTGGTGGAGTGGGTGGAATTAGCCCTTTATATTATCACATCTCTGTATGCAGCCATATCCATGGTTACGGTCCACACCAGTGAACCGCACTCCCTGCTCCAAGTTGATTTGTTTAATAAAAATGCATTTGTGTGGATACCCACAGGGCCTTGGAAGTACTGTGAGATGGGGACACAGCTCTGACCTCCCATGTCCAGGGCCACCCAGGAGCCTTGGCTCCAGAGCACAGAACTTGTTCCTTAGCACTATGGTGGCAGGGGCTCAGCAGTAACTCAGCTTTGGCAGTGCAGAGGTGGGTCCTGGGTGACCTTCTGAAGGGATGACCTCTCCACCCATCCCTGAGAGCAAGAGAGAGTGAAAATGAAAAGCTGCCTTCTGTTCAATTAGCTTCTTTTTGAGGATTAGAGCCTGACTAGCAGGCGGAAAATTCCACGCTCTAGCAAAACAAAAGGGAGCAAAAAGGAGAGCAGAAAAAGGGCACCACAGCCTCCCACCATCTTCTCCCGTGTGCACACGTTCCCTCTGACTTCCCCAAGTCCCAGCTAAGTCTCCACGCCCTTACCTATGGCACAGAAAAGAACCCAGCCTATTTCAGAATGCACGTCAACATGGGATGGGAGGGAGATTTTATCTGGTAAATGGACAGTGGCATGACAGTCAAGGAAGCACAACACAAGAAAGTCATTGCCTTTCCAAGTGTTGATCTGATTCCACCAAGAGGTGGGGGAAGGCTCTGTTCAGAGCTGCAGCCTGTACACCTGCTTACTTAGTAACAAGGAGAAAAGAGACTCCCAGCTTTTGGCAGGCAACAGTATCTAAGCTAGAACTTAGTAAGATTGTTTAATGCCATTGTGTTTGTTTTTACTTTTTTATATTAATTTGCTTTTTGTTTGTTTGAGACAGGGTCTCCATATGTAGTACAGGCTGAACTCAAACTATTCCTCCTGCCTCAGCTTCCTGAGTGCTGGGATTATAGGAGTTCCCCACTATTCCCAGCTTAATTTACTATTTGTGGTAAGTTTTCCACTTAATAGTAGTGACATGCATATTGCTTTTTAAATAAATGGACTTAAATTTTTTTTTAAGTGGCAGACTAAAAAAAATGCAAAAGAAAAGGACAGGTGGTATGAAGACGGCAAGAATAAGGTGGTACAAGAATGACAGATGTTTTTAGAACTTTTTTTTTTTTTCTGTTCCTTTCCTCATTAAAAGTTTTAGAGCCGCATAGAAGCATTCTGTCCTACACATGCCTCTCAATGGTCTTGACGCTTCTCATTCATTTTACGGTGACATCAACACACCTGTCTGAACATCACTGGATCAGAATCCAGTGACTAAGAAAACCCTAAAAGAGTTCTCACAAACATGCATGATCCTTGCCTGCAGACAGGGTCAGTGACTTCGGGAGTATAGGTGACCTCGAGGGCAAAGATGCTATTTCAGAAACCTAAAGAATTCACCTGGTGTGAAGCAACTACCAATTCTCTGAGTACACTTCCAAAATTCAAGAGGATGTGAGTCTTTCGACTTTTCTCTGTTTGAAATGGTTCATGATAAAATGGCAAGCAACAATGAACAGGACAGGAAGAGAAGATAATATTATGAACCCTTGAAAACATTCAATACACAACTGACTTACCAATAATAGATCTTTATCAGTGCCGAAGGCCACAGGAGAAAGGAGGCTACGAATGCCAGGATTGGGATGGCCAGCGTCCCACCCGCGATTACAAACATGTTCAACACATCGAGATCCATGCTGCTCCTCAAAGCTGGCTGCACCTGCAGGGGCTGAAGACAGAGATGGTTCTGAAACTGTCTTAGGAGAAGAGGGGAGAAGTCAAAGGGGAAGAGAAAAGTGAAGGACTCAGAATGGGGGTATAGGTCAGGAGGAAACAAAAGCAAGTTGAGTGCTTCAAAAACTAAACAGGCAACTAAATAACAAGGAGCCCTAGGAAGGGCCTCTGGCTTTTAAAAAAGGAAATCAAAACTCCAAGGCACATTGCTAGGAAGGATTGGGCAGTAGAAAATACTGCCGTATTAGTGCTACCATTTTTGTATGTGATGATGAAATCATGACTGTTATGGAGAAGAAGGTCCTTGTTCTTAAGAGATGTCTGCTGGTGTTTTAAGGGGTATCCAATGGTGTCTGCAACTTGCTTTTAAAGGTTCAGACGGGGGACTGGAAGCTTGGCTCAGGTGGTAGAGGCTTGCCTAGCAGGCACAAGGCCCTGAGTTCAAACCCTAGTACTGCCAAAAATAAGTAAATACATACTAAATAAAGGTTCAGAAAAAGAAATGGTAACAGATATGTATATAGGTGGGAAGATAGGGGAATGAAGGAAATACAGTGAAATGTTCACCATTGGGGAATTCAGGTGAAGGTCAACTTCAACTTTTCTATAGATCTGCTTTCTTTTTTTTTTTGAGATAGAGTCTCACTATGTAGCCCAGGTTGGCCTGCAACTACTCAGCCACACTCAGCTTAGATCTGCCATTTTTAAAAATAGAAGGAGGACAGAGAACCTTAAAGAAAGAAAGAAATTTAAATGATATGTGCAGAAGAGTGTTTGTGTACAGCGAGTTCATCACTGGACAAAGGTACACGAAAGCAGTGACAGCAGCTATATCTAGATAGGTAAGGAAAGAGCTGGGTGTCAGGGATAGACAAGAGCCTGGTTTTTCACTTTTTAAATCTTCTGCATTACTTATCATGTAAATACATGACCTATTAAAAATAATAGTACACAGGAAAAGGTGGAGGGAAAGAAGACAAAAAGGTAGTTTTCTGATGTCTTCCTAAAGATTCAACAGACAAATGTGAAGACTAGCATGTGGACTCTGCTACCCACATGTCCACCCCCATGCCTACTTCTCTGTTTTACAGACTAACAAAATAGAGGCTAGAAAGGTTAAGTGACTTGCCCAAGGCCACTCAGCCGGCAGAGCAGTGATTACAAAACAGATGTCCAACCTAGACACTCTCTCTGTACCAAACTCTAGGTTTTTCCAGCGGTCTTTTTCCAGTGGTGTTTCCTCAATCTTTGCAAACACTTTGTTGTCAGATACCCACACTCATCCTAGTTTCTCCATGTTATCTCTCCAAGAGAGGGCCAAACAAGCCCCTCGTGGTCAGAAGCAGAAAGCAGGTGCAATGCTGGGCAGGGTAGATGGTGCTTTTCCATTACTCCCCAGTCTATCTGGGGACAGCCATGAAAGAGGCCTCCCTTGCAGGGACACAGGCATCATCTTTGTCATTAACTACCTTCTCAGTCGCTTAGTCACCGTGAGCAATTTTCCCAGCAAGCTTCAACCATTGCCCACTTCACTTCTAGACGTTGAGTTCCTTGAGGGTAGATCACATCTGTTCCTTCCCAGAGCCTACTACCGCACAGGACACACAAACACTAACGAAAAGCAAAGTTACAAAACAGGTTCGATCCTGTTTATTTTTAGGGGAAAGCATTCCCAATAATGTTGTAAGAGATCAGATGTTTTTCTTCTTTCAGTAACTATAAAACTCTCTGGGGGAGTCACCTATTAAATGTTGGGTACAAAGGCTGGAGGTGTGGCTCAGGGGTAGATCCCAACATTGCCGAAAAAAAAAAAAAAATGCTGGGCACAATCTACATGCTAAACAGCCTCACCATCAAGGAGTAAGCAAATTAATCACAGAGTGAAAGGAATTTGGAGAAATCTGAACATCATATAGATCTCACATAAGCTATAAACAAGAGAACTGTCAGCTTCAAGAAAACTCTTCCTAGTCGGGCATAGTGACTCATGGCTATGATCCCAGCTATTTGGGAGGTGGTGATCAGGAGCTTTATAGTTTGAGGTCAACCGGGCAAAAAGTTAGTAAGACTCCATCTCAATAAACAAACCTATATGGTGGCACATGACTGTAATTTTAGCTAGGCAGGAGGCATAGAGAGGAAGATTGTGGTCCAAGGGCAGCCCTGGGCAAAAACATTATACCCTATCAAAATAACTACAGCAATTCAAAATTGTCACTATGAATCCCCTCTGTACAACTAATGTATGCTAATAAAAATACCTTGGGAAAAAAAAAAAAAACTACATCAAGAAAGAATTGAGGGTGTGGCTCAATTAGTAGAGCACCTGCCTAACAAGCAAGAGGGAGGGAGGGAGGCAGGAAGGGAGGAAGGAAGAAAAGAAGGAAATTTTTTCACATTACAGGAAGTCCTTAAAAGTGCCAAGGGCCACTGTGAATTCTGACTGAAGATCATGAAAAAGAAATCCTGCTGTGGTGCCTGTGTGGTGTCACACTCAGTTTCCAGGAGGTATCCTCCAGGATCCCATCTCCATTTACTATCAGACTACACCTTTTGGTGAAGTGCAATTGATTAAGGCAGATTTGGACTTACTCCAGAGACCTGCACACCTCCCCTGACAGGTCAGATAAACCAGATCCTCGTTGAAAAAAACTGAAAATACTTGCTGACTACAAAGTTTTCTACACAGATAAAGAAGTGGACAATCATTCCTATCTCTGCAACCCTTCACTTAAAGGACTTGACCCAGCTTTCCTGTAGAAGGCAGCTCCCCTGCCCGCTGCTGTTTATTAATAGAAAATTCTACACGCCCAGGGAGAAGGCTGGAGACAGAAAAACGGAAGCCTTGTGAACCATTTGAGGCTGTAACACAGTTTCCCAGGCTATGGGCCCCCCATAACTGACAGCAGGCAAGATGATTTTAGAGAGTAAAGAAAATTAAATCAGGCTCCAGGGGTCCATAACTTCAGTTAACAGCGACATACTAAGAGAGTCATTCATCTCTGTTCAGGTCAAGTCCTGCTTAGCCAGAGGGCAACTCTCAGGACAGTAGTATTAAACAGCTCGGACCCTGGGACCTTCTGGAGGGATTGAGCTAGTCCAACAAGAGTCCCTTTCAGTTATTTTTATGGATACTTTCAAGTTATGGTAGGGATACAAATTAATCTTAAGAACAAATTTAAGTGAAAGGCAATCAATTTAAAGAAAAATGCTAAGTGGGTGACACATGGATCTGGGGGAACTGTGACCTGTGTGTGGAGGGGTGGCACTAAGGGCCATTTGGCTGGGGTTGGGGGGGTGGACATTCAAGCCTGCTGTCTCCGACTTGGCCCTTCACACAGCAGATGGAACCCCTTGGTCTCCTTTTCTACTAAATGAAAACATTCAATCAAATCCTCTCTTTGTTCTTTCCTACTCTGGTGACTTAAACATTTCTGAAATTATGCCAGGCAATTAAAGAGCAGGATCTGCATGCCTCCTAAGAATCTTGTCCTCCATTATATTTTCCCAGGAGCTAAAACAGTACCTGGCAAATATCTGGTGCTTAATAATGTTCGCTGACTGATTTAATAAACTGAAAGAAAAACACTCTTTCACATATCTGTTACATAAGGTGAGGCACCCTAGGACCTGCAGCCCAGTATCAAGTGAGTACTATCAAGAAAGACTAGCCACTGGGCACAGTGGACCACACCTATAACCCTAGCTACTTGAAAGGCTGAAATTGGAAGGATTGTGGTTCAAAGTCAGTCTGGGCAAACAGTTCATGAGATCGCCATCTCCAAAATAACCAAGAGCAAAATAGACTGGAGATTTAATTCAAGCAGTAGAACACCTGCTTTGCAAGTATGAAGCCTTGCAGTTCAACCAACAAGTCCCACCAAACAAACAAAAAAAGGAGCTGGACATATAGTACCATTATAGGTCACACTGACCTTGAAAAATGGGGATCTTGCATTCCAATATATTAAAAAGCAAAATCTAAGAAATAAACAGATTGTTGACACTTTCATAGAACCTGGTCTTTCCCTACAACCATCAAATTTGACAAAGTCTCAGTCCTCCAAAATAACGATTATCAATAACAACAATAGCCGCGACTGCCACCGCCCACCATAGCCAAAGACCAAGAGCAATGGCATCCATCCTGACAGCTCCCCTGTGCTAGGCCCCATGATCATACATCTCCCTTTTATCTCTCATAACATTATGAAATAGGAACATGTTCTCCCGTTTTAAAGAAGAAAAACTGAGGCTTAAAGAAGTTAACAAACACCTCTACTCACTTAGCTGTTAAGCGGCATTCCTAAATGTCAACCTGCTCCTGTCCGTCTCCCTAGTTCATGCTACCTTTGCCTTTGCAATGCTTTCTACAGCAAATATGTACTGTGCATCAGCTGTGCCCAAGGCACAGAGGTCAATGTCCCCAGGGACATTCTCTATACTTGTTCAGAACTGTTTCAACAACAAATTTATAAGTTTCCAGTCAGCTTATGCCTTCTGCTGTCTTAAAAACTATCTGGTGCTGCTTATAATTCTTCTTTAATTGTACAATATAAAAAGTCTCCCTGTAGCTGGGCACAGTGGCTCACATCTATATCCTAGTTATTCGGAAGGCAGAGAGAGGAAGGACATGCAGTTCGAGGCCAGCCATAGAAAAATTTTCAAGATCCTATCTCCATCATAAAACAAAACAAGGAAAAGGTGGGTGTGGTGGCTCACACCTATCATCCCGGCTACATGGGAAGTGTAAATAGGAGATAACTATGGTCCAGGCCAGCCTTGGCATAAACATGAGACCCAATTCAAAAATTAAAGTAAAAAGGACTGGTGGAGTGGCTGAAGTCGTAGAGCACCTGCCCAGCAAGTGTGATGTCCTCAGTTCAAACCCCAATGCTCAAAAATCAAAATTCTCCCCATAATGTTTTTCACTAGAAAAACACCATTTTTTGAAATCTGAGTATAACATCCTAGCTGTTAATTAGTGCTGTGTCCACCCCCCACACTGATCTCTGAAACCAGTAAGTTCTCAAAAGTCTCCCAAAGATTAACAACTAAAAAACAAATGCAAAGAAGAAAGATTCTCTTGCATGGAAGCCCCAGGACTTAAGGGTCAAATTTGAGAATGCGCTGTTCCAATTCCTCTTCTCTATCAGGAGGATCACACTGAAATTTCTAAGCAAGCAGGTAAGCTTGCCATTGGCAGGTAATGGCAAAGTTCCAGGGATTACTATCCTGGGGTGCTCTCCTCTGCCTTTTTCATGGCTTTATTGTCTCCCCCTCACTCTATCTGAGCCCATTCCTCCCTCTCTTCCTCCTCCACGGTTTGCAGCTCCAGTGGTCCTACTGTTGAAGTAAGCCTGGCTGAGCATGCTTGGTGAGGGTACCAGGATGCTCTCCTCACTCTTCTCTCCAGGATATTCCCATAGTGCTCTCCTCATTCTCTCCTCACCTCTACCCTCCATCACCCCCTCTCCTGGGGAATTTGAAAGTTAACATACCCAACAGGACCTCCTTCCAGACTTTTCAAATTGCCTGCTTGACTACCCACGATGCAAAGGTGCTAGGATGTCACAGACACACCTCTCCCCACTTCTCCTGATTCCTGCTCCTGTCAGACTAGCCTCTTAGAGGCATCTTCCACTCTTCCCACTTGCTCACCACTCCAGTTATGGCATGGTGGAGAGGTATGGGCACCAAAGTCAATTTGTCTGAGTCTAGACAAACTGCCAATTTAAATTTAAATTGTTCAATAATTCATAATTTAACAATTAAATAATATAAGATTCAGTTCTCAGTCATACCAGCATCTTTCAAGGGCTGGATAGCCACATATGGAGAGGAGTTACCTACCACAAAGGATAACAGCTCTTGGGAGATTTAAACCCAGGAAGGCCACTAACAATCTCATAAGCCAGTTTGGTTCAACAGTGACTAAGAATATTGGGTGGGAAGAAAACTCCCCACCTGAAAGAATTGCTCATGAGGCAGCTATGCTCCCCAGCTGCACACAAAGCCTTTCTGTGCAGGCTGCTTTCTCACACCCTGAATCCCTCCACCATGAGCACCTGGAGGAATCATCTCAGTTCACGCCAGGAATCGGGCTGCGCTGTTCTAAAGAAATGTGAACCACCCTCTATGGTCCTGACTCGCCTGTCTACGCCTGCATCCTAAAGAGCCAGCCTCACACTGCATCCTGCTCTGTCCCTCTCACTGTCCCCTCATGGTGGAGCCCTGTTGTCCCGGAGGTCTGATAAACTCTTTCCTACCTTCAGGGCTGGTTCCAGCACCACATTCCCCAGGGCAGCTTTGTTACCCTAACCAGGTTTTTCCCATCAGATCCCTGCTCCTGACACAGTCTTTAAGAACTGTGTATAGAGGGTTTTCCAGGTGTTTGGAAACCTCATGGTATCCAATCCCTTTCCACCAAACCTACCATCCAGAGAATCAGCCCGCAGAGGTAGCCTGCAGAGGGTGGGAGGGGGCTCAGAGGTGAAGCTGCCTCTTTTTGGTTAATCTATGATGTTAAAAATTCATACTTACTTTTCAAAGAGCACAGCCTCCAATCGCTACAGTCTTTGTCAGGAGCTGAAAGTCAGATTCTGGAATCACAAGAAATCAAATGACAAAGCATTAATCAGCTTAGGGAATGTGAATGAAGTGCTAACAGCCAGCCAAGTGGGGCTGAGCACAGGCAAAGTACAAACATCCCGTGTCTTTATAACCGGCCTCTGCCTCAGGACGCAGCCTCTAGCTTATACATCCCCAATTAGGCAAAAGTGCACAAAGGGCAGGGCCTCTCAGCCAAGCCTCGAGACGGGGTACAGTAGTTCAAAGAACGAGGCAGGTGACAGATGGTATGACTATAACCGTAATACATTATATATATGGATGTATGGAAGTATCATAACAAATCCATTGTAGAATTTTAATTTTTTTTTTTAAATAAAGAAACCAGGTGAGAGGTCAAGCAGGGGATGCACAGCAGGACAACCAGGCCGTCAGGGTAGGAAATACAACAATGGTAGAACAGGCCTAATCGGAGCACACCATGAGTTTAATAAAGAAATGCACATAAAGATATAGAACTTTCCTACACGAGGGCTTGCCTAGTGCAGGAAATGTTATATTCTGGAAGGAATGGAAAAAGGGCAAAAAACAATGGACAAAGGAAGGCAATACCGCAACCAGAATAACTCATGAATAGGGATGGGGCCTGTTGAGATCAGGCTGTGCCCTGCTCCACAGTTACTCCATATTGTATAGAACAGCAGCTTTCAGGCTGTGCCTTGCCCAGAGTGACTCCATTTTATAAAGCAGAAGTTTGCTCCATCTTGGGTGCAAATGCTAAGGCAGAATGACTCTATATGGTTTTTTTGTGCATTAAACAACTACTATTTGTCTAGCACAAACTGTCCAGCAGACTGAGTTATTTAATGGCAATAAAAGATTATCAACTACGAATTATCAAATTAAATCAGGAACACAAGGATACATGGGCGTATCAACTGCATATCAAGAAAAAAAAAAAAGATCTATGAACTTACCAAACACACTATGAGAGGCAAGACAGATAGAGGAAATGACAGGGAAAGTAAAAATAATAAAAAGATTTAAAAGATCAGAATCAAAAGTTAAAACTGAACCAGGAGAAAACCTAAAACAAAAAATTCAGAGCAGCAAGTTCTCCTCCCATCATCCTCCCTTTTCCTTTTAAATGTTAAAAAGTTGCAAACTCTATACAGAAAATTAAAGGGCATGTCTGGCAAAGCATGTCCTAAAATTATCCACATGGCCCTTGTGTTTTGGGTAAGCCTAGAACACTTGTGCTTTTGAACAATAACAAGGCCTATCTTAGCCATGTTTTGGGTAATAAAACCATCCCAAACCCATCATCTCAAAGCTTGGACACAACAAAAATGATTAGGGGCTGCTAGGTGACATGACCAGGTGTCTAGATGACACTTTAACATGAAATCCCCCAGCTATCTATCTATCTATTTATCTATCTACTCCAGATGAGAGCCACCATTTTGAGCCTTCTTCATTTCCATCTCCTGCATGTGAAACAGAAGATATTTCTCTTTCCTTTCTAATTTCTTCCTACTTTATCCTATTACACTAAAATAAATCCTTGCTAAAACTTCCACCTGTGAGACTCTTCTTTTTGTGAGACCACTCAAAATGTGTTTTGTTGTGGATCTCAAGTCCCTGTAAGGTACATGGAAACTGAGAAGCTGAGAGACCTCTTTATCCTTCTCTTTTCTCCAAAACAACCAGGCCAACAAATGTTGTAGCCCCCCACCTGCATCATATCAAATGAAGGAGCTGCACTGGTGTCTGGTGGTATACACCAACTCATCTTCAGACCATCTGGTGTTGTGCACACATACTGGATTGACAGACAATGAGCTCCAACCCCTCACCACCCCCCACAACACATGCTCTTTCTCCAGAGCTTCATCGGGAGACACCACTGAGTCTTAATGGCGCTCAGTGACTGGGTTCATTATGTTAATACCTTATCTAACTACCTTCAGTGACTCTCTTTGCATCTGTATCAGCTCTCACCTTCAGCCTCTTTGAACCCTACTGTCACTTTAATCTGTCTTGGCCATTCTGTAACCTATATATTATTGTGAAGTATAATGTGTGATTTGAGAGTTAATATTAGTAATCAAGAGTGGAATAAAAGAACTCGTTTGCCATGGTTATCAGGTGAAATCAGTAGTACTTGGTGAATCAATGCCAATAAAATTGATACGGCTTGTGAATTTATCATTGTTTAATAAATTCTGACATTTAGAAAGTTTGTCCATCTATGTGGCATAGCTCACTCACAACAGGACTCATGCTCAAAAACAAGGCAGAAGCAGATCTAAGGAACTGGCAAAGGCTATGTAGCAGGATCATGAAGAGACAGGCAAGGAAAAACTAAGCTACAGAACCCAGAACTATTTCAGACAGATCAGTATTAAACATGGAAAACAGAACCATGAAAAATCTGGAAGAAATCTCAAGAACCCTATTTTATTTATTTATTTTTCTCTTTTTTTATTGGTATATATTAATTTTACAAAGGATTTTCATTCTGATACTTCCATATATTCATATAATTAACTTGATCAAATTTATCTCATCTATTATTCTTTCTTATCTTCCCTCTCCCCAGAACTATTTTAAAATATCTCCATGAGAAGGCCTTTCTAAGAAAGATATAAAAGCCAGAAGCCATAATAAAATATCATTATTACAAAATAATTTTTATATTATTACTATTACAAAAGAACAACAAACCAACTACATAAAATTGCTTTCAAATGTCCACTTGGAAAGAGATTCCATTATAAGACTAAAATTCATCAATAGTCATCAGAGGCAAAAGTCTAATCTCCTTAATGTATAGGAGGTTCCTAGAAATCAAGAAGAACAATAAACCCAGTAGAAAAATAAGTGAATGATCTGAATAGGTAACTTGCTAGAAAGGAAACAGAAATGACTCTTGAACATAAAAAGAGGCTGTATCTCATTTACAATAGGAGACAGGCAAATTAAGTCTACAGGTTGACGTGGCCTTCATTTATCATACTGGCAAAGAACAAAAAGTTTAATTACAGACTGTGTGGCTGAGGCTATGTAGAACTAGAAGCTCTCATATCATGTAACAACTTACACTCCCATCAACAAACTCCATGAATGACTCTATGGCAAAAATCCGTGTCAATATAAAATGCACCTAACCTTGACTTAACAATATTCCTTTCTTCTTCTAGAATTTTAACCATATATCTGAACATATGTAAAAAAAAAATGTTTGTATAAGGTTAGTCATTACAATATTATTTATACTGTAATAAAAGATTAGATATAACATACATGGCTAATTACAGTGGATATGATAAATAATGATACAGTTTTACAAAAGAATATTCTATATAGCTATTAAATACAAATACAAATAAATACAAATAAAAGCTATTAAAATAATGAGGCAGTCCTATTTGTACCTTTGGATAGTGATTTCCAAGGTACAATGTTAACCCGAAAAAGCCAGGAACCAAGGTAGGAATGGTGGTACATGCCTATAATCCCATACTCAGCAGGCTGAAACAGGAGGATAGCGAATTCGTGGCCAGCCTGAGCTATATTGCAAGACCCTGTGTCAAAATAACAACAAAAAGCAAGGAACTATGAAACTATAAATAGAATAACATCTCTTGCATTAAAAAAGAGTGACAGAGAAAACATATGTTACACTTATATATGACTGAAAAGTTCTGGATGGATACATAAGAACCCGAGAATAATGTCTGGCTCTGTAAAACTGGGGGACTAGGGCAGATGACAGGGGGAAAAATTTTTTTTTTCTGGTTGTATTGGGGTTTGAACTCAGGGTTTCACCTTGAAGGCAAGCGCTCTACTACTTCAAGCCATTCTGCCAGTCCTCACTGATATTCTTTTGTGCCTTTTGATTGCACCATTGCCTGTTTTTTCTATTTAATTAAAAATACAATATAAACTCCTCAAATAAAATTAATCTTGCGTTGTCCAACCAGTAGCCACTAGTCACATGTGGCTGTTTAAATTAAAAGTTAATTAAAATTAAATAAAATTTAAAATTCAGTCCTTCAGTTGCACGAGAATAATGTCTGGCTCTGTAAAACTGGGGGACTAGGGCAGATGACAGGGGGAAAAATTTTTTTTTTCTGGTTGTATTGGGGTTTGAACTCAGGGTTTCACCCTTGCAAGGCAAGCGCTCTACTACTTCAGCCATTCTGCCAGCTCCTCACTGATATTCTTTTGTGCCTTTTGATTTGCCACCATTGCCTGTTTTTTCCTATTTAATTAAAAATACAATATAAACTCCTCAAATAAAATAATCTTGCGTTGTCCAACACAGTAGCCACTAGTCACATGTGGCTGTTTAAATTAAAGTTAATTAAAATTAAATAAAATTTAAAATTCAGTCCTTCAGTTGCATAAGCCACATATAGCCTATTGCTACCACCCTGGGTGGTAAAAACACAAATGTTGTCATTACAACCAAAAGTTCTATTGGCCAGTCCTGGATGCTATACTAGCTTAAAAGGCCCTTGGAGACAGCAATCAAACCTTCACTGTTGCTCAGAATGAGAGAAAAACTACAAATGTAAATGCTGTTAGGATGAAAATCCTTTCATCTGTACACAGTGACCAGGTGGCTCAACTCCCTACTAAGATGATATTCAAAAACTGAGGGAAATCTTCCCTATGCGACTGTCCAGAGGTTAATGACATTTGCTTGCCAGGAACTCTAGATCTTAAGGTTCAAAGTCAGCATTCTCAGATAGAAGTAAATACGAATGTTCCACACAACGGTCATGAGCCATAAATTCCTATCTCCTTGTGGTTCTGTCAGAGGGACTGATGAGAAAGTTCACTGTCCTGCTTCACTAAGTACAAGCAACCGGTTCCCCTTAGGAGTTCTTGTTCAAGAACCAGTTAGCACACAGCCCCTCCCTGCTTCTGCCACTGAAGCAGTGCTGTGGGCAAGAGCTGTGGGTGGAGGATCAGAAAGAACCAGAAAGTCCTGATACCCAATGCTGGAGAAGTGACAGCCAGA